CATGTCCCTGGACATCGCGAAACTACAGCACGATTATCGAAAGATGAGCAGTAACTGATACTTCGAGACCATGATAAGATAAATAAGCAAAGATCTTAACAATGTTTGCAAACGTATAAACGAGCAAAATTATTGTTTCAAATGCACGTGATTGTTCCTTGACTTCGCGAAACTATAGCACGATTATCGAAAGATGAGCAGTGACTGATACTTCGAGAACATGATAAGATAAATGAGCAACTCGAGATCTTAACAATGTTTGCAAACGTATAAACGAGCAAAATTATTGTTTCAAATGCACGTGATCGTTTCTTGACTTCACGAAACTACAGCACGATTATCGAAAGATGAGCACTGTCCCATACATCGAGTCCACGATTAGATAAATAAGCAAAGATCTTAACAATGTTTGCAAACGTATAAACGAGCAAAATTACTGTTTCAAAAGCACGTGATTGTTTCTTGACTTCGCGAAACTATAGCACGATTAACGAAAGGTGAGCAGTGACTGATACTTCGAGACCACGATTAGATAAATAAGCAAAGATCTTAACAATGTTTGCAAACGTATAAACGAGCAAAATTACTGTTTCAAAAGCACGTGATTGTTTCTTGACTTCGCGAAACTATAGCACGATTATCGAAAGATGAGCAGTAACTGATACTTCGAGAACATGATAAGATAAATAAGCAAAGATCTTAACAATGTTTGCAAACGTATAAACGAGCAAAATTACTGTTTCAAATGCACGTGATCGTTTCTTGAATTCGCTAAACTATAGCACGATTATCGAAAGATGAGCAGTGACTGATACTTCGAGACCACGATTAGATAAATAAGCAAAGATCTTAACAATGTTTGCAAACGTATAAACGAGCAAAATTACTGTTTCAAAAGCACGTGATTGTTTCTTGACTTCGCGAAACTATAGCACGATTATCGAAAGATGAGCAGTAACTGATACTTCGAGACCATGATAAGATAAATAAGCAAAGATCTTAACAATGTTTGCAAACGTATAAACGAGCAAAATTATTGTTTCAAATGCACGTGATTCTTTCTTGATTTCGAGAAACTATAGCACGATTATCGAAAGATGAGCAGTGACTGATACTTCGAGACCACGATTAGATAAATAAGCAAAGATCTTAACAATGTTTGCAAACGTATAAACGAGCAAAATTACTGTTTCAAAAGCACGTGATTGTTTCTTGACTTCGCGAAACTATAGCACGATTATCGAAAGATGAGCAGTAACTGATACTTCGAGACCATGATAAGATAAATAAGCAAAGATCTTAACAATGTTTGCAAACGTATAAACGAGCAAAATTACTGTTTCAAAAGCACGTGATTGTTTCTTGACTTCGCGAAACTATAGCACGATTATAGAAAGATGAGCACTGTCCCATACATCGAGTCCACGATTAGATAAATAAGCAATGATCTTAACAATGTTTGCAAACGTATAAACGAGCAAAATTACTGTTTCAAAAGCACGTGATTGTTTCTTGACTTCGCGAAACTATAGCACGATTATCGAAAGATGAGCAGTAACTGATACTTCGAGAACATGATAAGATAAATAAGCAAAGATCTTAACAATGTTTGCAAACCTATAAACGAGCAAAATTATTGTTTCAAATGCACGTGATTGTTCCTTGACTTCGCGAAACTATAGCACGATTATCGAAAGATGAGCAGTAACTGATACTTCGAGACCATGGTAAGATAAATAAGCAAAGATCTTAACAATGTTTGCAAACGTATAAACGAGCAAAATTACTGTTTCAAAAGCACGTGATTGTTTCTTGACTTCGCGAAACTATAGCACGATTATAGAAAGATGAGCACTGTCCCATACATCGAGTCCACGATTAGATAAATAAGCAATGATCTTAACAATGTTTGCAAACGTATAAACGAGCAAAATTATTGTTTCAAATGCACGTGATTCTTTCTTGATTTCGAGAAACTATAGCACGATTATCGAAAGATGAGCAGTGACTGATACTTCGAGAACATGATAAGATAAATGAGCAACTCGAGATTTTAACAATTTCCAAATGTATAAACAAGTCAAATTATTACGTTTCCAGTCCACGTGTAGAATTTCAGAATTTTCAAAATCGACTTTCTCGAGAAACGAAATCGATAACTATAATCCTCTGTATAATTCTAACCTCAAAATTATGTTATTCTTCATTATAATAGTTTTTCCCTAAATCGAAGATCATAGATACATTATTATTATTTAATTTAGGGGCAATGATATATTGCCCCTATTGATGTACAATAATTGTACATAATGTTAAAATAAAAGATTATAACTAAAATTTTCGAAAGGTGCATTAACACTAGATTTACGAGCATTGATCATACGTATATTTATTGATTACCTTTCATGTTGACGATTACCTTAAAATACGATTTTTCTTTTAATCAGAATTCATGCCATTGCATCAATCAAATTCAACGTAAGTTGTTAAAAAATAATATTCACGCGTTCTGCAATTTTTAAATATGGAACCAGACATCCGTCAAATTGACGGCTTCCGTAAATCTAGTGTTAAAAAAATTTATTAGTTAAATGCTTTTCCGAGACCATTTTGGCAACTCGTCGAATTCGATGTGCTAGGAATTGGAGGTAGGAATTTAGTTCAATTTCTGGTGGTGTCAGAACTGGAGGGACACCCTGTACGGTAGTCCGTATTGGGTACTTTTGTTCCATGATCGAGTATATCAAGTATTCTGGTCGAGTAACAAGTGGTGCACACGTCACGTCACGTGTCAGACGCAGCGCGCACTACACTCTCGGTCCTGTGCCTTTTACCAAAAACAAGGACGAGTATTCCTTGTCGATAAAAGTCCACGCTGCCCTAGACCCGTTTCTCAAACTCATTATTTTGTTCCTCACATATCGTCGAACCGCGAGACTCTTTTTCTTGGCGAACCGGAGGATCGTAACAATACGAAAGCGCAGTGTACTTCATCGAGATTCGAGCTAACAACAATTCAAAACGAATTCGTCTCATCCAAACAAGTTCAATTTCTCTCTATCGATCCAAAATTATAAAAAAAAAAAATTTTTTTCCCCCCACCTCGTTAAAATAAATTCATTTAACACTTTGACTGCCACCTCATCCATATATGGGTGACAGGATTTACCATTATGATACTAGAAAAATTAATTCTCAAGTTAAGACATCGAGGGAAATAAATTTGTAAGTAGCTTACAATGGTTTCAAATAAAAATTTTACTTTTGCAGAATATTATACGGTTTGGATTTGCCGTGAACGTGTTAAACGCGTACACGGAATTTTTACCGTAATAATTACATTCAAATGTCCCGCACAGCACGAGTGCAATCTCCTCTCGTATTTCGAGAAACCAAATTCGAAATTCGGGAACCGAATTTATGAAAATCTGGAAATAGTCAAAGGGGGGGATGTTCGTTATATATTTCGCTATTTTCAATCGTAATCGCTTGTTATCGTCGCTAAACTTTCGACCAGTTTCCTGGATCGTGGACGATTCAAAATGGCGTCCCTGCGATTTCCAAACTTCCGTGCAACGTTCGCGCCGAGCTCCGCACGGGCGAGAGTTACGTTGCGAAAGTTTTGGAGAACGATAAGAATGGGAACGTCGATGCGACATGTATATTCGTGGAAATATGGCACGCGGCGAATCGACAAGAAAATGCCCCGCGTAAACCTGTCGCGTCCGCTGGCACGAGAAACATGCAAACAAGCTTATTCGCGCTTGGACCTGCTAAGATTACGTCGCGGGGGGGATTAAGAAGGGGGAGAAAAAAATTCCGTGGAAAAGTTAAAATCCATGTTTGTCGCGCGATGTTCTTTCCGGGTATTTGCTCGCCGCTGGTGTGGGTAAATTTTAAACCGGGTCGAAATATTTTTAACCGTCCAAGAAAGAAACGGACGTCTCGGAAACGCTGTTGCAGCGACGAGGGATGATCTCCAGGAAATTAAAAAAGTTTTGAATAGATGGATACACGTAGACATCGAGCAATTTTTTTTTTTTTTTTGTTCTTTACCAGTGAAATTCACTTTAAGGGGTTGGAAAAATTAAGCCTCGAATATTCGGATATTTCGAATTTGTTATTTTACTCTTTACAGGGGCAAAATCATATTGAAATTTCGATTAATTAATTGTTTATCGGCGGGATCGAGCGTTGCTTTCGTTTGTATCGACGGGTGTTCATTAAATTTCACAGTGGAAACATTACATCACGAAGATTGAATTTCCTTTTTTATACAAAGGATTTCATTGTTGTCGTTGATAAACCAATTTAAAGCAGCTGTCGTGTGCTTTAATACCCGCGAGTTTCGAGCGGTCGAATCCATTTTGTTTTCAACGAACGGTTCGAAGAAAAATTGACCTAAATAAATTGCTTTGTATTGTTTCGCGGGAACGTGAGCATAATCCGCCGCGAATGAGGATTAAAATCCAGTCGATGATAACAACGATGATTGTAGTATTGTGAAATTGTTTATAAGGTTCGGGACTAGCAGATCGATGTATTGATTTTTTACAAAATTTGTACAAAATTTGATTTGTACGTTTGGGAAAAGATCGATGGAGTCCGAGGTACGAGAGAGCGAACGCGTCGAAGTTAACTTGCGAAAAGAGATCTTTAACAATAATTTACAATTGTATTTGTAACTTTCTCTTCGTTTTTAACTTTGCAATTATTAAATTGTCTACGCGTTTAAATATTCGCCAGCTGTTTCGGTAATTCCGCGTGCGATTTTCCTCCATTTTGATTATTTCACTCCAGCTTTAAAACGGTATTAAAAATTTCAATATCGATAATATTTTAAAACCGACTAAAAAATAGCTAAGAAAAGTTAATCGATAAATTTGTGATAAATAACCAAAGATTTCAATATACAGATTTTAAAACCGACTCAAAAATAGCTAAAAAAGTTAATCGGTTGATCCAAGATAAATAAGAAAAATCTGTTCGTTCTAGCCGTAATGTGATACAAAAAAATAGAGACTGGAGTGAAGAATTGGAGAAAATGGCTGCAGAATCGCTCGGCGTTTTCCATGTAAAAATGTGTAAAAAGTAATACGTTAAAAATATCACAATAGTTAAGTATTTTACAGAACGTTGGCTATCAATTAGTTTCGAGTCCATTGCTCTCGTTCTTCTTCTCAGTTTGCCTGACTTCCTTATACTGAGCACCCTTCTTAGCGTCCTGACGTCTCTGCACGTCTTTCGTCAAGACGGTCATAATAAGACCAACGAGGAGCGCCGTGCAAAGCCCGATATGAACCGGAATATCCCCGTAGGTTTCTAATAATCTACCCATTATTAGAACTAGGACAATGCCGTAAACGTTATTAGTCACATTCAGAATTCCTGCCGCCATCCCTTCGGACTCCGGATACGTATATTCCGCGCATATTTCGTATCCTAAGGCCACGTAACCGGCCATGAAGTACCTGCGGAAAATATAATTGCACTTTAGACACGAGACGGGAGGGCGAAAATTAATTCTGGCGCGAAAAAAACAGCGACAGCGATCGTTAAAAATTATTGCGAGAAGCCACGAAACGTTCGAACGTGGAGAATCTTTAAAAAAATTTTCTTTCCAAGTACTTTTCAGAACTGGAATTATTTACAAAATTTCTTTCAGTCCTTTTCTCCAGCCCAGTTATAAGAATTTTAATATTTTTTCGTTCGTACGAACGGATTGAACGGTTTTATTCTGGGCGATCGCGTTTGTAACGGTCGCGCGGCGTATTTGAAAGCTTGAATCGCGTCGAGATGCGCGCGCAGTATATAGTACCCCAAGAAAATGGCCGACAGATACACCATCCATTTCATTTCGAGGCACGTGAACACAGCGAAGAATATCTGGCCGCACAGCGACAGAAAATAGACGATCACCGTCGTTTCCCTGCAATTTACACGTTCAGGTTTATTAAAAAATAATTAACATAAACGTAAAAGATTACATTACGAAGAACAATACATTGAAGTAAAAGTGTACGAACGAAGCCACTATTATTCATGAATGGATATGTTAAATGGATAACATAACGTAGTTTTATTGGCAGAATTTTAAAATTAAACAACATAAACGTTCTTGATGCTTACAGCAAATTTGGAACATATCTGTTCATAAATTGAAATAGTAAATTTTACACATTTAAAAAAAAATAAAAAATAGAATAAAATTCATGCAGAACTAAAAGTTCAACAAAAAAAAGTATGTAGAAAAATAGAAAATCGGCGCGTGGCAGTACGCTTACTTGAATTTATGCGTTTTATCGAGAATAACTCCGAAACTGACGGAACCTAACATCCCCGTAATGATCATGGCCAAACCGATTCTACCTGCGTCTTCTTCGCCATTCTGTAAAACATACAACGTTCCGTAATTAGCCCCTGAACCTTTCCTCCAACGATATTCCGCGAGCTTACGATTCAATCTCCTCTAGATTTTTAATCATCATCCTATACGGTGGGAAATTTTGTCTCGTCTGGTTCTCACCTTAAAATGGGCCAGAAATATTTGATTCAACAACGTGGCCACCGCGTTCAACACACCGACGTTCAAGCCGTACGTGTTGCAGAGCAACAAATAATATTTGTTTTTAAAGAGTCTTTTCATCGGTTCTACGAAGCCCTCCTCCGTCTCCATTTGATTCAATTTCTGCAGTGCTCGCGTCGTGCTCGGCGGCAACTTCGGATCGTCTTCCAAAACTATGCAAAATAATTACTTCTTCAGTGATAATCTAGCGTGCGTTTCTAGCAATTTCAAAATAAGTTGGAACAAGACAAATAATTACGTTTCTCGACTTCGCGAAATTATAGCACGATTATCGAAAGATGGACACTGTCCCATACTTCGAGTCCACGATTAAGATAAATGAGCAGTTTGAGATCTTTGCAATGTTTGCAAATGTGTAAACAAGCCAAATTATTGTTTCAAATGTACGTGATTGCTTCTTGACTTCGCGAAACTATAGCACGATTATCGAAAAATGAGCACTGTCCTATACATCGAGTCCAGGATTAAGATAAATGAGCTACTGGAGATCTTAACAATGTTTGCAAACGTATAAACGAGCAAAATTATTGTTTCAAATGCACGTGATTGTTTCTTGACTTCGCGAAGCTATAGCATGATTATCGAAAGATGGGCACTGTCCCATACTTCGAGTCCACGATTAAGATAAATGAGCAACTGGAGATCTTAACAATGTTTGTAAATGTGTAAACAAGTCAAATTATTGTTTCAAATGCACGTGACCATTTCTTGACATCGCGAAACTATAGCACGATTATCGAAAGATGGACACTGTCCCATACTTCGAGTCCACGATTAAGATAAATGAGCAGTTTGAGATCTTTGCAATGTTTGCAAATGTGTAAACAAGCCAAATTATTGTTTCCAGTGCACGTGACTGGCCCTCGACCTCACGAAACTATAGCACGTTTATCGAAAGATGGGCGCTGTCCCATACTTCGAGCCCACGATTGAGGGGCCTTTCTACCTTGTGGAATTAAAAAAATCGAATATTTGTTGCATTGTCTTTTAGTATGTAGTCTCGAAAATATATCTACCAAATATTAAATTGAAATTTGAAAAACTAACGAAGTTATAGCAATATAACAACTGGACGTGAAACTTTAAAGCTGTTTTTCTCGAAACTACATTTTTCGGCACTGCGTATGTGATAACGAAAAAACTACTCAAGATATCAACATGAAATTTATACAGTATCTTTAGAACTGGTCTCCCTATAGCACAAACTAGGATAATTGCGATATATGCAATACTTTTTCTTTTATTAACGAAAAAGCAACCGAATATATGAAAATATTCAGTATTTTTCCGTAAAATAGCTGCCATTTTGCCATTTTTTGTTTTTTTGAAATGATCCTAGTTCATGCTATAACCACACTCATCTACATTAAGAATATCGTTGGTTTTTGGATTTCGGATAACTTGTTCGCGAGATATCACATACGCAGTCGGACGCCGTTCATAAAAAACTGTTGTTTGTTGATCGACAAAAACAGCGTAATCAATAGATATTATGCGTTGCAAAAATTCGTAAATATAGCTAAATATACAATAAATGTATCTACAAAACACGGAATTAATCGCTCTTTAGTAGCCCGCAAAAAAAAATCACCAAGAAACACATATTTTTCGTGCCTACAAGGTAGAATGGCCCCTTAAAGCCCCTCAAGGTATGTAAATGAGCAGTTCGAGATCTTTGCAAATGTATAAACAAGCCAAATTATCGTTTCCAGTGCACGTGTAATGTTTCAAAGTTTTCAAAATTGACTTTTCGCGATTACTCCACACGTTTCTACATTGTCCGTCATTTTTAATTCCTCTTTTCTTTCTCCCGCGCAAAGTTGGATACCGCTTTGTCTCTCGGGGAAGAAGATAAGCTGGCATAAAAATAGACGTCGTTGTCAACGCGATTTACAGTCGAAAAGGTGGCCCGGAACGGTCGCGTTGATTTGTGTTATTATCGTAATTTTGTATTTTAAATCAGATACCGGTTTCTCCGTGACAAACTTACGTAGTATGACCAGCACGAACACAATCGTGATGATGATGGCTACGCCCCAGAAGAGCTGCGACAAGTTAGTGCCGATGTCGTCCAGGTCTTTGTGATTTTTCACGATTATCGGCGTGAGCAAGAAACTCAAGGCTATCCCGAGCTGATTGCCAAAAATGCTCAACGACGTCGCGGTGGACACTTCGCTGGTGTCGAACCATTGCGCCGCCAGTCGTCCAGGCAACGTCAGAACTATGGTCTGATGCCACGCAAAGTGTAAAGAAAACACAAAATATTATTATTAAACAGCTGCTCTAATCTTGGTGACGAAAGTTAAATCGTCAACCTCGCAGATCGAGTTTCCTTTAAGGATTTTTTGGGCTAAAAAAAAAAGAGCAAAGTGAACCACGAGGACCTCGCATAATTCGATCACCATACCTCGTATACAAAATGGCGAGTCAACGAGAATTTTTTCAAGAAAGAAACTGAATTCCACGACTCGGTTGCAAGACATCAAAATGGCGTTAATTGCACTTACATTTCTCAAAGAATTTTCAATTGGAAAAGAAAAATAACAAAGTTTAAATTACTGTAAATTTTCTATTCGTCCACTTCATATTTGCATAAATTCAAATTTCATTTACATTTCTCAACGAACTTTCAATTGGAAAAGAAAAATAACAAAGTTGAAATTACTGTAAATTTTCTATTCGTCCACTTCATATTTGCATAAATTCAAATTTCACTTACATTTCTCAACGAATTTTCAATTGGAAAAGACAAAATAACCAAATTGAAATTACTGTAAATTTTATTATCCTCCAAAGATAATTTAATTTTCTCTGCTCCATGTTTGTTTATATTCAAGAGTGAGAAATAATAAGTCGCAAATTAAAGGATCAACGTGGTCCAACAAGATTCAAAAACAATGCAACGTTTGATGTTTGTTTGCGCGCCCGAGACACGAGTGCCTTCGACGTTCTTTTTTTCTTTTTCGAGTATAGTAATTCTTCACACGGAAACGCAGAGATTTCATTAAGCTCGAAGCGTATTCGGCGAACGTGCAATCATAAATCGTTCCGCGAGATACCGTGCTTCGAGCTTAAGCTTTGGGCAGATAAAGTTCGACTAGACTTGTAATACCTCGCATTGGCATTAATTTACGACGCCTTCTCACGAACAACGTTTTCACCGTATTTACGGACGCTCGATTTTTGTTTTACCGTGGCTAATTCCAATGTCCACGAATGTTTTTTCCGAAATTATACGCGCCAAGAAATAATTTATATCGCGATCGTTTTTTAATCTAACACCTCGTGTAAGGCTAATTCACTGTCCCGCTAAAATCAAAACCGTAATTGTCCGACACAAACGGCACGATACTACTGAAAAAATTCGATTTCAACCCGTTCGATCGATATTTTTAAACGTAACAATCGTTTCGAACTTTTCGATTGTCGGCCATCTTTAGAGGTTAAACGAAACTCCTCGCCTCGTAGAATCGAGCAACGAAATGGAACTTAAATTTATGAAAAAAATCAGTGTTTCCACGGTCCTGTTGAAAGAAATATCGAAGTTGAAAATAATAATTACTCTAATAACCGATAAAACTCAGAATGAGCCTGAAAGAAATATTTTATACGTTAGAAATTGCTCTCCTTAAAACTTGTCTGACACAAATGGCAGATTACTACTGAAAAAATTCGATCGATACTTTAAACACAATTAAACGAGAATCGTAATAGCCAATCGATGCTAATTAATGAAACTCTTGCAATATTACTTCTCAAAGGCAGACCAAACGCGATCTATAATTTGGATACTTGCTGTCAATAGGTCTATAAATATTTTCCAAATTATTTTAATTAAGAGAAAGAAACATAAGTCGTTGGATCAGGTAGTACGTATCGTCCCGTCGATATTGGGGCCCACATTTCACTTATCCGGGACGTGAACGCTTCGCAGTTATCCGGGTATTGCTAACCTGCATGGCAGCGACGAAGGAGTGTCCGATGAAGGTCACGTAGAACCTGTCGGGACTGACGGAGAAAACTTTGATCCACGAACCGAGGCAACTCAGTCCACAGCCTAAAATGTTGGTCCATCTGAATCCCAACCGGTCTATTATGTAGGTCACAGGAAAGATGAGGACCACGTAGTAAGCCATGAACGCCATGGCCGTCCAGTCGACAGCCAACGACGAGACATTATAGTACCTGGACCATTCAAAAATTCACGAATACCCTCCGTTCTAAACGTCCACGATTTTTCGAAACGTTATTCGCTAAACCGCGGATACCTTGATATTATATTGGTGATTATAGAATACTGTATCCACTGGAAGGTGCTTATCGCCGTGTACGTAGTAAACAATACCAGAATCAACCATCTCTTTTTGTACACCTTTATCTCCAAAGGGTCACGATCGTCCCTTTTCGTCCCGTTCACTATTTTCTCCGGACAACTCGTGCACATTACTTCCTTCAGTTCCCTGTCGTTGGCCATTTTCGCGCCACGATCGATCCCAAAACCTCGACGAACGTGGACGCGGTTCGCGTAGAGATCGTTCTTCGCGCGTACTTCGTTCGATCGTGAAAAATCGTTAAGGCACGGTCTCGTTCGTCGCCATCGAGATCCCACCGTTCAACTTCATTCGACGATTCCCAACGTGTTCGCCCGCTGATCTATCGATCGACGTACCGTACTATCGCGCGTTGCTAGACTTCCAACCTCGACTCGTTAGGAACTGCGTCTTCCGCGGGTGTTATTGCTTTTTGTTTTATCTGCGTTCACGATTAAACAAGAACAGCTGTACTATAGATCGCGCTGCTCTTATCGCAACATTTTTATCGCATAACGCGACGACATTAGTGTAGTGCTATCGAACCGATCCTCTTCGTGATTTTCCGTCTCGATCGATTGCCCATCGGTCGATTCAGCGCCGTTCCGGGGAGGGGAGGGTAAATCGCTCGAAGATTGCCAGCCGCGTAGTCAAGAATTAAGCTCCTCCCGCGACATCTATCAGGTGGTTAATCTCGGAGGTAAACAATTAGTCGAAACATGCACACTAATCTCGCCGTGTCCCATGAGACGTGGCTGTTGTTATGAGAAAGTCGCTGGCGCCATGCTATTATTGACTTCGGTGCGCGGTGTGTACGTTACGGTTCGCGATCGCTCAGAGAAGCTACAGGACCGTTCAAAATCACGCGATCGAACGGAAATCTCGTCCACCGGAACCGTACAGCTCTTCCAGAAAGTTATCGAACTCGTATACTCATTCTTTGGAGAAATATATTCAACGATATTATAAATTTAATATTCGAGCGATTTGTTTTTTTTTATTATTGTATTGTATCTGGCTCTAATTTTTAGACTCGAACGTTTGCACTTGAAATATCATTCGAATTAATTGAACCTTGTATTAGCAAAACCGTGGATTTAAATAAGAATTTTAGTGTTTTGAAATCGTAGAGAAATAGACACCATTATACTGTTCAACTTTTGCTTTTACAATCTTTTTCTATGGTTTATTAAACTCGAGATATAACTGGTTAAAGGTGAGCTTGTTGTCCCTCTGTGGCCCCAGTTGCCATATTTCCAGTTGCGTACAATACTACATTGGGCCACTTAACTACAGAAATAAATGTTCTATATTTTCTATTTATTTTCACGCGAGGAACTAGCTTCTTCTCGATCTTTCCACGATTTCGAAATCACCTTGTATATTTGCACAAACTAGGCCAGGTTTATATCGTATATACGTTCCTCTTATCTATCGAACAAGAGAACACGTGTTTTACAGGTAAAGTTTGTCATCCGTGATACTAGATTTTTGCTCTAAAACGTTATATAAATATAGCATTTGAATGTGTGTTTCTTGCGAATTCGAAATTTCAAGTTAAATTTCGTAACAGCGTCTATTATTAGTTTGATCTTAATTGTCTGGTTAATCCAACGTAGGTAAATCGCGATAGGAGAAAGATTTCTGATACGCTATCAATATACCGGATTTACACGATCGTTTCAGTGTTTGACAAATCTCACCGGGAGTACGATAACCGTGAACTTCATCTACGAAAGATAAGGCACGATTAGTATTAACATCGTGGCCGCGTCCCGCCGCGTGTAATTACAATGAAGGAATGATCGGTACAATGAATATAACAGAAGTTTATTAGATATTACACTTTAACGATAAAGACAATGCAAATCTGAGGCTCCTTGAGTTACATAAGTTTTATAAATCTATTACAAAATTAAACATTTCCGACCCAATCCACTCCATAAACTTCGCGACATCCTTGAATGCGTTAACTTTAAAGGTAACAGTAAAAAACCTCGGGAGAAGCACGACTGACTGAACGGGGTGTACACGGAAACATTTTTTTCATTGTAAAAATATGTGACATATCCGCACCGTGGTGCAGCACCAAAATCTCAGCGAGAACAAAAAAATTTCCAATTTTCATATTTACAAAAATCACTCGAACCAAGCAGAGGTCATCGATCGAGGATCAAACGGAATAATACGATTTTTGAAAATCAAATAAATTAACGCACGATCATCGAAGAAGTATGATAAATTCGAAACAAAGTTCGACATTTTGGTAGTCCACCACACCTCAATGCGGATACTTTTACTTTACACGCAACGTCGCTCCTTTTTTATTTATACATATACCGTGTCCCAGTTGAATCTTCCAAAAATCATCTGTCCTCGAAATCAAGGTCCCGAAAATATATTACAAACGACGGATCGCTATCGTTACGAAGTCGAAAGAACAAGTTCGTTACGGATTAATATTATAAAGGGGTGTCTTCTTTATATATCTATACACATAGTCTAACGATTACTCGAGTCGTATTGTATACAATTTTTTTTTTTTTCCTCTTTATTGTTTAATAGTACTATGTAACTCTTGGGACCGTAATTCGATACAATCGATATTTAACGTTTTAACGTGTGTATACAGTGTGTATTACAAACTATTCAATTCACCGAGCAACAGTTCACAGGGGTAACACTCTGAACGTAGAAACACGTGGATAATCCATTACGTTTTTTTTTCTTTTTATTTTTTCTATTTCGTTACACCGGTGTTTCGAAGAAAACACCCGCGACGTTATCTTTGGCTGGCGCTCGGTAATGTTCGATCCAATCACATTCGTCCCACGGGGTTGATTACTTCGAAAAATTAATTCGCCTAACTTTTCTTTTTTAACAATTGTTTATAATCACCCATAAGGCGTTCCTGAGACTAAAGTTGAGCAATTCTCGTAGAAATGTTCCACGCGCGATGGAAGATTCAAGATGGATGAATCTGCTCGGATTCAAGCAATCGCGACCGTTTTTGCCTCCCTTCTTGCGAACGGATCAATCCGAGAGGTGGAAATTTCGAACTGGGAATTTAATCGTGTTTCACAATTTATTTTATATGCGGGTTCCCGGAAAAATGGCAAATCGGCGAGATAAAATTAATGTGAAAACCCTGTATATTATGTACATCAGAAAATTGTTGATTTTTAAACGTCACACGTTCGTTGTGGCCGTGATTGGAAGGGTTACGCGGCCGAAGAAACACGAACAATGGGGCGGAGATGACGTTGCAAGTAACCCTAACGCAGATTGATGCAAGAAGCGAGGCAATACTGGGCTTAGTGTCTACGAAAGCCTCCGTGGGAGAAGGTGCTCTTAAAATATGTTCTTCTTCGTATTCAGTGCCCAGGAATCGAACGTCGATACACTGGGGTCCGCTCGATCGTTCTATTTTGGCTTTCCCAATGAATCGATGAGTAACGAGACGAGCGTAGAACGGAACACGGTAACGCGTGTCGCGATAAAAATCGAATCGAGGTCGCGATATTCTCAGAACGGCGTAACGATCGTTTCGATAATAACGAACGACGATTCGATCGTATCGAAATTTTCCATTGAAAGCGACCCTTCGATCGTCGGCCATCTTGAAAAGTTACACGAGACTGCTCACCTCGGAGAATCAAACAACGAAATGGAACTTAAATTTGCGAAAAAATCAATATGTTTTCACGGCACTCTCGAGAGAAATATTGAAGTTGAAATAATAATTATTCTAAACTTTGTAATTCCTAACCCAGCAGAATTCGGAACGCGAGAAAAATATTTTATGGGTTAGGAGTTGTCCTCGTCTCATTTTGAGCATATGTTAACAATAAATAAAGCGAAACCTTAACGGAAATATATTGATTCTTAAACAGATTGATTATCAGAGCAATTCTAAAGGAAATATATGTATTTTAATTTGGAGAAAAAGAACTAAACAATTTTCTTTGGGAATTTTATTCGAACACACGAAGGGGTAAATAAAAAATGGCGGCAAAAGCCCAAATTTAATAGAGATTTAATCATGTAAGATTAAAATTAAATTTCGAAAAATAGAAACTTATGATTTTATTGTTTCGTAATTTTTGAAGAGCGAAAAATCGACGGTCGTTCCAATGGAAAACACGATTAAAATCGACCACGATCGTCAATCCTCATTTATTATGGCGCGTTCAACGTTCGATACGTTCGAATAATATTATTTGGCACGATTCGACGTGTGCGTGGGAACTCTCTCGCACGAAATGGAATTTCGGTGAAACACTCCCAGCGATTCTGGTACGGTAATTTTGCACCACGGACGCGCATAAACACTTCTGTGACGTCCTTACGATTTTTAACAACGCCAACAGTAACGTTTGGCCGTCCACGTCGACGATATCTAAACATTTGCGCATGAATTTCGCGCACCCAGACAGCCAGCGTGATCGTTCCGCGAAAACAAAGGATCGAGAACGGCTATAATATCGATTTCGATTCCTCGAACCAGCCACGGTTATTCAAAATTATTGTTACGGAGTAGCGAAAACCTTATCGTTTCCGGTTACGGTTATCATATCGGTTAAAGCGTCGATCCCATAAATGTCATCGATTCTTTGGAACAGTGGCCACACAAATTTTTTCGGAAGCCAAATGGCAATTTCCAAGTAAAAAATTTATTCAAAATTTAGAGAACCACAGAAATTTAAGTAACGCGTTTGCATAATTTTATTCAAACAGAAACATAAAAAATGGGGAGGATTGAATGGAATAAATTGCTATAATTGTGAACAAATATTCATAATCAAATTTCCCGAGCGACATTCTTTATCCTTGTTACATTAAAATCACACATAGTTTCTATCAAGAAAAGAATAAAATTTTCAAACAAATTTTTTATATATTATAATTTTCAAAGATAAAAAATAATAAAAAAATTCTACTCCAGGGGTATCTTACGCTTGTAGAACACTCTGAAAGTCGTTAATCATTCAAAATATTCACGGGGAAACGAAATTTGAGAACCCCTGAACCATGGAAGTAAGGTTAGAATCGTAATCGAAATCGATACGTTTTTTTCGATTATCCACAACAGTTACCCACGAACGGCGTTTCTTCGCAACTGTTTCCACTTCGTGGAAACTTTATACAACAGCTTGAAACAGTCATTTCTGGAGGAGTTTCGAACCCCTTGAATGAAAACTCGTGTCGATCCGAAATCGAGCACGTTTTTCCATTAGCGGTCGAAATATTGCCCTGGATGCCCGATGACGAGTCCGCGACAACTTTCGAAACCGAGTTTAATTGGATTTCCTAAATTTTCAACCGCGAGCAATCCCTTCGAAGGGTACGAAAAATTTCTCGACGGAGTCCGTGGAACTTTTCTTTATTTCCTTCGTCGTCGATCGGACAGTCGTACAATGTTCGACGTTAATGACATTCGCGTTTCTCGGGACGCTTTAAAATGTACTGCGAGAACAAATAACCGCCTTGATTTAATCAACGGGGCGATGGGAAGTTTTTAGAACCTTCTCAAAGCGTGATCGCGACCTGAAGGGGAATACCAAAGAAAATCTTTAACGAAGATAAACGCGAGCAACTTAAACATCCCAGTTTCGTTAATAGAAATCAACCATTGTCACATTTTTAATCGATACGAGAGATACATTGGTTTCCTCTCATTTTCCATGAATATTTAGACACAGTTTGCTAACAACTTATTCTTTATTATGTATAGACGATCAATGGTAAATGCAATAGCATAAAATGCAAGATCATTTCCCGATCTTCACTTTTCCGGGAGGAGCTGCTTCGCCAAAAAAATTCTGGGCCTGGAAGAATCTTCTGTAATCGTTATACGAACGTCTGTGTAAAAAGTAAATGCATTATAATTCTGGAATCCGACATTTTAACGCGTCAAAACAAAAGGTTCAAGAAATTCGAGGAAAAAAAAAATCGTTAATGGATATTCGTAAAAGCGTGATTTGTAATGCCCAATTTACTATACTGTGTTTTTCCAAATATCTCTGCTTGAATTTTGCGAACGTTCCAAAGAGAGCATTCGAAAATCAATCGATAATTAACGTTAGATTTCCGCACGAATGGCCGGCGAAGTAGAATCGCCGTAAAATCCATGAAACTATTAACCCAAGAAAAGAGAACATCCTGCGGAATAAGAGGTCGCTTTTACGCGGGTCAGCGAACCGCAAGAAAAGCTCGAAGAGTTTCGTCTCGAGATCCAACGAACCCTTTGGATTTCGCTCGCCGGTAAAAGCGCAGTTTCACGGAAGTCGCCATCGATCTGCCGATAAACCGCACGATGGCTGTCTGGCTTCTTCCGGTTTAGCGTCCCCGCGTTACCGTGCACGGTTCTACGCGGCAGCTTGGAACAACAGCGTTTACACGAACGTTACGAGTCGAATCGTCGGTTTGGGATCGCGAGTCACAAGAACGCGTTACTTTTATTTTCCCCCTAACGAAGGACAACGACTTCCGGGGTTTCCTACGTCGACGTTGTCGCGTCACCTCAGCGCAAATGTACAAACTTACAAACGTGATTCGGGAGAAAATTTCTTTTACAAAATTCGAGGGAGTGGGGGTTAGGGCAGGAAGGTCGGGGTAGTGGGAAATTATGCTAATTAGTCGGACCTCTTGGCAATTACCTGTACATGACGATAGAAACACGTACGTAGAGCTCGATAGTAGCTGCGATATGTATCATCTTCGCGTCAACAAGATACCTGTATAACGTTTGTCGATCATCGCCCCGAGCCGCAATTAATTAGGCAATTTGATCCCAGAACACATGGCAATAGTTCATATAAACATACAATTAATTTTATAATTTTATACGAATTTTTTTTTTTTTATGTATAAATTTACAGATACCAACGAGGACCTTCGGAAGGGTCCGCGATCTCCATGGATTTTTACGAGCTATCTAAGGGTTTCGCGGTACTTCGAACTACGGTTATCGACGTGGCATCGATCGCACGAGCCCCGTTATCGGGTTAGACATCGTGTTATATTTAATAATAATAAAAAAAAGAAAGGAAAGGTAGTCGATACATGTTTTTTTTTTCTCGCGCGTTGGAAGAGCAAACGTCCGAACGCCAAACGCCGAGATCCGAAAGCTTCGCGAAGCTTCGACAGAGAAGACGAGAGCGGAAGAGGAATTCGCAGTTTCCGCCGCGACCGGCTTGACTACTAGCCTGAAAGAAAACGATGAAAGGTTGTCTCCATCCTCGATGCAAGTTCGACGACGTGCAATTCGAACGAGTGTTTCTTTGGCTTCGAAGATACGTGCTTCGACAAACCACGCTGCGATCGCTACGGACTTCTCCGTTCGAGGTACCGTCTATCTACTTTCACGGAACGAAGTAGATTCTGTGTGAAGAATAGCCGGGCGCCATTGCTCGATAATCTCAGACACTCCGTAATTGGTCTTTCAAGTACAATCAAGGTATTCGAAACGTTTAAATAATTCAAACTCATCAATTTTATCGATTATATTTTACTCATTTTTTCCTAGTATTTACGATATTAATGGTTCTAATGTTTCTTGGATCCCTGCACGAGTTTCTGAAACGAAAATGCAAACTCCAGAATAGACGAGAAGAGAAAAAGACTTATGGCACTTGGAGTCAACGTGTACTAGTAACGATTCGTAAAATGAACGCGATTCGTAAATTGAACATTTCTATCCCTCTCAACCGAGGAAGATGTGCTGAACGACAGACCAGTGATTCTTAAAATGAACGTTACTTATGGTATTCGGAGTCAAGGTGTAATGATTCGTAAATTGAACGTTTTCCTCGCATCAGTGGAGCGTGAAAGACGATATTTAAAAACGATTCTCAACGATATCGCCTCCACTCTACGAAAGATGAACATGTCACCCCCTCTCCTGGAATGATGATCATTTTACGAATCACTACTGTATCCAAAAATTCTATATAATTATAAAAGTAATTTTACTAAAACAGACACACGATTTCATGACAGATAGCCAGCGAACGAGTAACGCAGCGAAATTTGTCGAAGCCACGCGATTAAGAGGTACATCCAACTATCGAAGGCTGTTGGAGGAGGTTGCTGGTCGTCGAGGCTCACCGCGGTTAAATACGATCGACTGTTAATGTAAGTAATTGTTAACGACAGTTTTATGCGCTTCGTTGAGAGTATATGGCCACAAGGTAACACTTGGGTTAGATTCACGTTAAAAAAAAAAGAAGTAGTAATGGAAAACGAACGAGTGGGAGTGTGTTGGAGGGGTTACAGGAGCTCTTCGTTCTCGTCCGTGACACCGTACATCTGGGGCCGTCGGTCCTGCAGCTGTTGCTGGTGCAGCTTCTGAGCTTGCTGCTTCTGGAGGAGCGCGATGCTGGCTGCTTTGTAGTTGATCGGCCCGTATGATCGGTAGTCCACGTCGGCGTAGTCGAGATCCGAGAATTCCGGCTTGAAGGGCTGCGTAAACAGAACATGACAACGAACACCTTAGTCTGAAGTACACGATTTAAAGGTTCCAACAACGGGCTACAACACTCCGCGATACGCCGATTCCAAAGGGGCAAACAAGGTTTTTATTGTTAATCTGTACTTATTATTATAGAATTCATCGCCCTCACGATACGAAAAGAATCGCACAATCTTCGTAGCGTCTTTTCAAAATGCCCCCCTCCCCATTTTGTGCTAACGAATTCGCTATTTTCCACAAATTCATTTTTATTTTAGAATTTCAACTGCTTTTCAAGTTCTCGGATAAATTCCCCTCTTCTACTGATAAATAAAGTCAAGGTGAGGGGAGTCAGTCTCTGCGAACGCTTGCGAGAGAGACAAGAGCACATGGCCCTCTGGTGGCGAGTAAGGGAGGTGGCGCCACAGTATCAATTTCAGTCGATTTAGTCGAAAGAACTAAAGAAGCTTGGCTCGTGTATAGCTCAATTTCCCCAGCCTCCATTTCAGGAGTAGTTTTTCTACTTTTCTAAGATACAGTAGCATCGGTATCGAAAGCGTTTTCAATTAAGAACTGAGAAATTAGGAACAGATTGGGTAGTACAGTGATTCTTTTTACTCGAAGACTCCTCGATAAGTTTTTAATTTCTGAACGGTTCTATACGTAAATTGATATGGCCGAAGTTCGCGTCTCTCGAGCCAGAACTTTATCATACTTTCCGACGAAATGGACCGTACGATCTCGAGACGCGACCGCCAAGCGTTTGATGAAACTTTCGGAACGTACAGCGGAGCTTTTTATTTTTTACAAATCATCCACATACCTGGGGCAGACGCGACGAAGTTTTCGAGTTATTTGCATTCGAAAGTTTCTGTCCGTCACCGTACAAAGTATGACGAACCACGGCTCCATGGAAACGTCCCATGGTTCCCACCATGATGGTCGAGTTTCTCTTTAATTCCTTGTTTCAATATTTCCACGTCTCTTTTATGCATATACGTATTTTTATTTTGCTCTATCCCTTGCAATTTTTCTCCACTCCTGTTACGTTCACATTCTAGAAACATGAATTTCTTACAATACAAATATTTTTTTAAATTAAATTTACGTGATCGATAAAAGAGATAAAAATCAAACGAACCACGGTGGGGACCACGTTTTACGCGTCTAAAGTTATTGCCCCACCCTGTATAACTCGAAGACGAGGTTAATCAACATTTTTCACTATTTTTTACGTCCCCTGTTCACCATTAAATCGGGTACAAAAACAGGTCGAGTGTATATCAAGTTTCTTAGGTTTGTTGTGTTTTTTCAAAACTCTTAATTTTCATTTCGGATGGTTCAGAGTGTTTCAAACGTATTTATGTTTTAACAGAGAAGAAGTATTTACATTTTTCTGCGGTAAACACCAGCTTCCTTTGCAGTCATTTGTTTGTTTCAGCTATAAAAAAAAAGACTCGACGGAAGCAGAAGTAGCAGAAACATTTAAAAAGCATTTCGTTAATTTCTCCATGAAAGAAAACTTATTTTCATTTAATTAGATGCATTGCTGGTCCATACCACAAGAATACAAATTATTTTCATTACTTTCTGCGAAATCTAATACTGATTTAACGAAGACTAATAATACGTCTACTTTCAACAAATCATTTTCATCTTTATTTATTTTTCAACAATTTTCTTACGTCAAATAAGATATAATCAACCTAGAAATTAATGAACATTATTGTTGGTAAATCGTTAGCAAATTAATGGGAGCCGTTATTCAGATTCTCTAGCGTGAGCTTATATTTGGTGGATTAAATCTGTTCGTTTGATATTATTGTGAAAATTTCATATATTTATAACATATTACTGTAACGTAGTTTAATTGTTCAATGGCCGCAATTTCTAAGCTTGGAACGACAATATCTGCTAAAATACGTGATATGGGTGATTCCACCGGAATGATAAATACTTGTTTATATTATATAGGGTGTGTCCACTAACTGAGACGGAAATTAACGAGAAACAATAAAGTTCGAAATACTTTTTACGATCAAATTTTCCAGTACCGTTCAATATTTTGCAGCGTTTTAATTCCTCGAGTCTCAATTGTTTTTGGAAAACGTTATGACTTTTATTACCGTTGCCCTTTTAATGGCTGCATCAGCGATGGTTCGCCATCGCCAGTGCGCGTACAAACATAAAAAGTGAACGCAGAGCCACAAACAAGGTTCAACGATCGACGTTTAACAGGGTTCGGTGGATTGTTTTTCTTTTTTGCAAAAGTCGCGCTATTAATTAAAGAATTAAATAAATCTGTTCCCCGCGTTAATGTATCGATTACAATTTGTTTCTCGTGCTACCGTGGCCACTTTAAGCTACCAATTAAAGGTGTAATCTGCAGTAGTTTTAATTCAAGCTATCGCGTATAAATACGATCCTTTATCGGATCGATTTTATTTACAATTTTCACACCAACGAGAACAGAATTTCGACGTTTTAACGACGATACGAAAATAATTGACCGCCGTTACCAACGGGGATGGAAAACGACGGTTTTTACAGATCAGATAAAAAGTGTACAGTAAAATAGCAAAAGAACTCCTCTGGTTCTGTTTGGACAATGAATTCTAAAAATTATGGTAACAAACTCAGGTATACGAATTCTCGGAGAGCAAAGGAATCAAAAAGTCCTTTACCATTTTCCAATCCGAGGCTCCGTTTTCGAGATACGAGCGGTGAAAGTTTGCCGATTCGGTCCTAGCAGGCGCCATTTTGGTTCCAGCGTGGCGCCACTTGTACACATCCGCGCGAAGACTTCGAACGCTCGTATCTCGAGAACGGAACCTCCGATTGGAAAATGGTAAAGGACTTTTCGATTCCTTTTCTCTTGAGGAATACTACCTGACAAATAGTTTTATATTTTTCTAAACATTATGCATAGCGTAGGACTTCCCTGTGAATTTTTACATCATATAAGAGAATCGTTACAGTTTTAAACGTTTCAGGGGTGTAAAAATTATTTAACAGGATACAAAGCTCGCTGATACGAGCTCGACGACTTCCACGTTGCTCGTCCACCGGAGCCGTGGCAATAATTTTAACTCTGACACGCACGATTACCGTCGAGGGGGGTCGCGAGAGGTCGTATCGCGATCAATTAACGAGTTTCTCGCAATCTTCTGTTAAATTTCCACGGGATACGATGCGCGCAGAAGTTGGAGGAGTTTATTGTTCGGCGAATAAACTGCGCCACTGCCGTTAGAATTTTAATGGCCAATCACACGGGCGTCGTTCGTTATTGAACGCGATAATTCGAATCGTCGCTTTGTTCATTACCGATACTTCACGAGCCGTCGTTGTCGAGCCATTCCATACGAAATTTAGTAGCTTGTCGCCAACGTTACGAATGTGTACGTTCCTTTCATGGATCGAGGGATGCATCGATGAAAATAAAAAAAAATAATTTCATTTAGAGTGAAACGGAATTTCTCGCGTCATTCTAGGCTTCACGCATACGCACGCATCGGAGTGATTACAATACTGTGCACAAATTATCTAAGCAAAATGACGTAATTCATAGAATACAATGTACCTACAAGGCATGTCGGACGCCAAAATGTCCTAGTAAATGTACGTATCGCTCTTTGTCTGCGGACCCTCCTACGAACAAACATTTAGATACAATTGGTATGTACAACGGCAACATATGAGTTTCATTATTGAGTTTCCATTTACGCCAATTCATCTAATTGATATTACAAATTCAGTCCATCGCGTCGTTGTGTAGTTTTCATTGCAATTTAACGGTTGGCCTAGCGGGAGATAAATTTTACACGTAATTCGCTCCCCTATTAATAACATTAAATAATTCGCTGAGATTTTTTAATTAAAGTAATTTAACCATAAAGATAACACGAACGCGAAATTTTGTTATATCATTAAGAGGAATTTAAATAACATCGATGTAATTTTACGGTCGACCTGGAAGAACTTTCGTTATCGCGTCGGTTGAAACTCATTTTTAGCTTCGTTGATTTTCATAATTCTCCCCTCGTTTTATTAACTTGTTAGCGAACCGTATTATCTTCGATACTGAATCTCGATAAAATAGCGAGTATTTTTTTAATCGTTTCTTCGTTGCAATAATGCATCGATGGAAATTGTTTAAAAAAAATTGTTCATAGTGTAAAAGTATTCATTAAACGTTTTCGTTCAAATCAGTCATATTTTTCGCTGCAGGTGTTTTCCTTTTTTTTTTTTTTTTTTTTTTTATTTCTCATCGTTGCACGTAGCTGTTTTAATTAAACATGACACATCGATTTTTCGTTGACTGATTTTAATTAAAATACTTACCAACGAGACACGACCGCCGACGAGAAAAAATAAAAATCAAATAAATGCGCAAGTGCAATCGATTAATTGAAATTTAAAAATATGCAATTTTAACCGGCAAAAAAAATGTAAAAGAAAAAAAGCTGCCAGAAATGTTGTTTGAAATGCTGTTAGAAATAAAGCAAAACGTGAGATGCAAACAAACGCAAATACAATCGGGCGAAAATAATACGAACCAACAAAATATCGTTCATTTCCTACCTGTGGTTGCGTTCCAACTTCGATACGGAACTAACAAATTCGTGCAAACTGCCTCCTGTTTCGTAATAATTTGCAAACTCATCGGGAAGAAAATTATAAGAACAAAATGAACGATCGTTTAAAAAATAAAATTAAAATCAAGTTTGAAACTTGAGACGGTACTCGGAATCGCAGAGATTTCTCTTCGAAAATTTACACAGCCGTCCATGAACTCTTAACAATTCTTAATATTCTTCCTCTAGAAAATATTTGGTAATATCAAGAAGGTCGTGTACACAACTGGAATTAAAGCAGTTTGTAGTATAAAATGTTTGAGAGATTCTGGACTTTTCAGATCACGTGTAACACTAATCTCATCCTGTTTTTTAAAAGAATCACTGGTGCATTTAAAGATTTCAGAAGCAATTTTTTTTGACAGTTTATAGTTTTGTTATAAGACGTGCAAAATATACGACAAATAAGTTTCTATTTTAATTACAATACTCTTATACGACATACGAGCATTCTCTTTATTTCTGACACCGTATCGACTTTTTCCTGGATCTTGATTTGTCTCTAACGCGTATTTTACTTCACAGAAAGGGACAGCTACGGATATGAGTTCCGACCGGAAAAATCTATGAATAATTTAGACGTAATTCCATAATAAAACTGTGTTTACATCATATTTGAATACTATTACAAAACACGAGAAACGAAACTATAGAGCGAGTCATAATAATTTTACATTACTTAGGCAGTTAAAAAATTGTTAACCGCCATGGGTCTAAATGCAAACCTTACTATACTTACATAATATGAAAGGCAAGAGAAGAGATATACAGGGTGTTCGGCCACCTCTAGCAAAAATTTTAATGAGCGATAGTAGAGGCCAAAATAAGACGAAAATCAAGAATACTAATTTGTTGATGGAAGCTTCGTTAAAAAGTTATTAACAATTAAATTCAAAAATTTCAAATCGTTCTGGAAAAATTATTTTCGGTTGCGGGGGTCAACTACAATCATTTTTGGTGAGTACACATACCTCCGAAATCCTATCTACTTTCGAGAAAAAAAATCGAGTAGGTGTTGAAATTTTTCGGCGAAAAAAAATTTTTCAAATCGTTTTAAAAAAATTATTTTCGGTTGCGGGGATCAATTACAATCATTTTTTATCATTACACATACCTCCGAAATCGTACGCACTTTCGAGAAAAAAATTCCTTACTGAAAATCCAATTAGGTGCCTAAATTTTTCAACGGAGAAAAAAAATTGCAAATCGTTGTGGAAAAATTATTTTCGGTTGCGGGGGTCAATTACAATCAGTTTTTGTCATTAGACATACCCACGAAATCCTGCCCACTTTTGAGAAAAAAAATAGAGAAGGTGTGAAATTATTCGAGAAAATTAAAAAATTGCAAATCGTTGTGGAAAAATTATTTTCGGTTGTAGGGTTCAATTACAGTCATTTTTGGTGAATAGACATACCCCCGAAATCTTGCGCATTTTCGAGAAAAAAATTCAGTACGGGCGGAACTTTAAACGTTAATAACTTTTTAACGAAGCTTCCACCAACAAATTAGTATTCTTGATTTTTGTCTTATTTTGGCCTCTACTATCGCTCATTAAAATTTTTGCTAGAGGTGGCCGAACACCCTGTATAATCACTACACTGCAAATCTTTATGCAAATTCATATTTTTACTATTAGAATTTTGGAAAATTCGATCATCTTTATGGGGAGTTAGGTTAAAATCCTCCAATCCGTTCAGAAGTTATGATTTTTTAAATATACGCGTGAAATTTCAGGGAAATATTTCGTCTCATATATTTTCGGTAAAGAATTTTTTTTCTCGAAATTACGTAGAATTTCGGGTGTGTATGTATTCACCAAAAATGATTGTAACTGACCCCTGCAATCAACAATATTTTTTTTAGAACGATTTGAAATTTTTTAATTTCGTCGAAAAATTTCAGCACCTACTCGAATTTTTTTCTCGAAACTGCGTAGAAATTCGGAAGTATGCCTATTGACCAAAAATAATTATAATTGACCTCTGCAACTGAAAATAATTTTCTTAGAACAATTTGAAACTTTTCAATTTCGACGATAAAGTCTACTTTCTTGAATTTTTTTCTCGAAAATGCCTAGGATTTCGAAGGTATGTGTGTTCACCAAAAATAATTGTAATTGATCCCCAAAATGGTAATAATTTTTTTATAATCATTTGAAATTTTTTAATTTTGTCGAAAAATTTGCCCCTTACTCGAATTTTTTTCTCAAATATTGGTAGGATTTTGGGGGTATGTCTATTGACCAAAAATGAGTGTAATTGACTCCCCTAGCTAAAAATAATTTTTTCAGAACGATTTGGAATTTTTTTTTTCGTCGAAAAATTTAGGCATTGTTCATAAAAATTAGTTTTTGATTTTTAGTAATTGTATTTGATGCACTATAGAAAAGTTGTTTAGTACGTTTTTGTAGGTACCCATGAGCTGCAGTTCAGAAAAAAGTTTCATCAAAATATGTATATTCACTATTGTAGGAGTTATGGCTGTTTGAATATTGGACCATTTTTATGGAATTTTTCTCATTTTACGGGATCAAGGAACAACTTTTCCAACATTTTCATAATCTCTACATATTCTCCACTAAAATACGCGTTGTTTACTTTTTGAAACATTAACATCGTCCAATCCGTTCAGAAGTTATGAAATTTAAAGATTTGCATGAAAATTCCTGCAGATATTTCTGACCAGAAATTATATTTTCGGTAAGGAATTTTTTTCTCGAAACTGAGTAGGATTTCGGGGGTATGTCTGTTAGCCAAAACTGCTTGTAATTGACCCCTGCGACTAAAAATAATTTTTTTAGAACGTTCTGAAAATTTTTTTTTTCGCCGAAAAATTTAGGTCGATTTTTCTTAGAAACTCGTTTTCGATTTTTAATAAATTTGTTTGACGGGGGGCGAAAAAGTTGTTTAGTACTTTTTTGGAGGTACCCGCGAGCTCTAGGCCAGAAAAAAGTTTCATCGAAATATATTCACTATTGTAGGAGTTATGGCTATTTGAAAATTGGACCATTTTTATGGGGTTTTTCTCATTTTACGGTGTCAAGGAATAACTTTTTCTATATTGTTAGAATTTCTGCATATTCTCCACTAAAATACGCGCTATTTGCCGTTTGAAACATTAAAATCCTCCAATCCGTTCAAGAGTTATGACGTTTCAAAGATTCGCAAGAAATTTTCGAGTGACATTTCTGGGCCCGAGATTAGATTTTTGGTAAGGAATTTTTTTCTCGAAAGTGCTCAGGATTTCGGGGGTATGTGTATTCATCGAAAATGATTGTAACTGACCCCTGCAACCGAAAATAATTTTTCCAGAAGGATTTAAAATTTTTTTTTCGTCGAAGAATTTTAAAACCTACCCCCGACGATTTTTCTTAAAAATTCATGAAAAGGGGACGTTATAATCGTCGTCGAATTTTTAGGTCGGTATAGCAGTTAGATTGGACCAGGAAAGTCCACAAGGTGTGAGACCTACTCGTATACCTCGTCCTGTGGTCACACGTCCTTCTTGATATACCTTCTATCAAAGTTGACGATAGCCAACGATAATTTACAGGTGACTCGTCGGTTTCCACTGACCTTTTAGACATCGATCTCCTGACCGACGTCCCGGAAGTGGAGCTCGGCGTACTGCATTATCGTAGGCGCGGACGGCGATCGTCCGTCGCCGTGATTCGACAACAGTCTCTTCGGTTTGTTGCGGTTCTTGGTGTCCCCGGGATCCGCGTAGTGCGTGTTCTCCGCCGGACACCGATTCGACTGCCGTTCCCAGATCTGTTGCCGCGAGTTCGGGTTCGATCTGTGATAATCGGTGGGACACTCCGCGATGTCGTCCTCGTAATAATGGGGATAAGAGATTTTGTACGTCTCGGGTATACCGAGCTCCTGGACTTGATGGAAGCTGGTCTCGCAGGCGGGCGAGCCGTACGCGGCCTCCGATCTCCTCGCGTCCCCCCGCCTCTGCTTCTGTTTCCGGTCGCCTCGTTTGTGCTTCCTGTATTTTTGGCTCCGCTCGTTCCCCCGATTAGCGTGACGGCGCGGTTGCCTCGCGTCGTGGTTCGTGTAGTTTTGTTGCTCCTCGTCCGGATGCACCGCGGACAGGTGATTGACGGTCTCGTGATGCGCCAGGGTGGACGAGCGATTGTTAGCGTGAACGAAGGAGGTCTGCAAGGGGCTAACTATCGAGGAATGGTAGAGGCTGCGCGTTAGTGGCAGTGTTAGTTGGCTCGAACTGTTGCTCGGTAACGGGTAGCTGTACTGCTGCATTTCCTGCCGGTGCTGCTGCTGATAGTGTTTTTCGAAGTTGTATAGGCTGTCGGTCTGCAACAGGCATTGTTAGTCGTTTGGAAATCCAGCCACGGGGGGACAGGATCATGTTAGTCACGAGTACGAGGCAAAATTTTGTTTCCCTTTCTATAATTTTCAACGATTTTACTCATAGGGCGGCTTCCTCTTGTAGGATACGGGGGAAGAGGCGACATACATGTATACAAACGGACTGTCGATCGAGTGCTTGCGAGAGAGCTAAGACCATAGCCCTCTGCTGGCAAGTTGGAAGTGAAATGACCAAATTTCATGCTACAGTACAAACGTTGAATCTGTTTACAGTAATCAAAATATATTTTCAAATTCGATGGACAGTCGAGTGTATATATGGTCGAGTGCTTGCGAGAGAGGAAGGTTCAGAGTAGTCCTCTGACGGCGAGCGCGGGAAGCATCGCCACCGTTCTTTTTCGATTCCTCCATGGAGGCTCACGCGAAAGTCTTTACAGGCTTGGAAATAATATTTTGCCTTCTTTACGATAGGGTTGAGAAGCTCACCGGCAAGCGGGTGTGCGTGTACGTGTCTGTGTGAGCGGAAACTTACTTGGTTCGCGGCCGACATACACAAGGACGGTCGCTACACGGATGGCCAGATCCAGCTTAGCAGTGAAAATATGATTTCCGATTATAACTCGGATTCCGGCGACTCTACCTCCTATTTGCTCGAAGCTGTTGTTTTATATCTACGGCGGACACGTAAATCGTACTCATGCAGTAGGTGCAATGCTAATTATTTTAATCGGTGCTTAAAGGATAGGATTCGTTCCGTGTGCTCGTGTTTCGTTCCAGTTACACGCGTTTCGTTCGTCGATCAATTTCTGAAATATTTTAATAAAGAACGCCGGTAAACACAGATTATACTTCAAATAAATAATACGGTGTTACTATTCTCACTATGGTACTTGCATACTACGTCCCCTATTGGCTGAAGACGATAACCTAGTCAGACATTGGTCACTATTGGTCTTCAGCCAATAGGGGACGTAGTGAACAGGCACTACTGCACGCAATGTTCGACTACGTCATCGTCTTCAGACCAATAAGGAACGTAGCAGAGAGGTACTAGAAGGTACCTCCGACCTAAGTTTTGATATATTTGCTTTTAAAACTTTGCACAGTCCTCAATTTAAGCGACAACCCGTCCGAAACAATCAATCGACTCGATCGCCAGTCCTCCAACAGTCGTTCCCGAGGCATCATTCTTGCTTCTTCCTGCGACAGGCGCAAAAAGGTCGGAAAGAAGAGCACACGGATTCGTCCGGGACGGTCAAACCAATCGATCACTGGACCCGCGATCAATCCCGATCCGAGTCTCGGGTCCAGGTAAGAAACTTTTGCTCCTTCGAGACATCAGCAACGATTCACGAGCATCGAATGCGGGCACTTACTAAACGAAAAGAACACAAGTAGACAAACCTTGGTCCTGGGCAGCGAAGAAGCGTTCCTCGTCGGAAAAACGGGAGGCGGTACGTTCTGATAAGTGTGTTTCGAGGGATCGGTGTTCCTGGGGTGCCTTGGCGCCGGTATCGGCGGCGTCGTCTCCGACCTGACGATCGTCGTCGCGATCGTGCCGGTGCTGCCGTTTTTGTGAGGGCATTTGTATATCGGTATGGTGTAAAGCTGATACTTCCTGTGAACGTTCTCGTGCCTACGGCAGAGCCTCAGAGAGTAGAACTGGGAACGTTTGTGCTTCCTTTGCCGCGGCTTCAAGCTATTGTATTTAGGCACGGGCGAGTTACTCCTAGGCATGTTGTAATCGCTATAGTGCGGCCCTAGGTGGCTCCTGGTCGATTCGTAACCGGAGCTACCGTCGCAGAGCGATGCCGTTCTGCTCAGCGGGCGCGAGGAACACGGCGATGTCGGGGCGGAATGATGCAACGTGCCATGCAAAGCCGAAACTCGGGTAAACATACGGGAAACCAACTAAAACAAAAGACAACCGGCGGCTACTTATGGCGGAACTCCGTCTACTTTTCGCTCCATCTTGAATCGACGCCTCCGCCTCGAAACTTCTCCTGTCTCCGGACTATGTACTTTCGTTTTTCAACATTTTTAACTTTAACAACACTTTGACGGCCACGTGACTCGAGTCGAGACGTCGAGGGAAATAAGTTTGGTTTAGATTTACGAATTTTAGGTTATGTAGCAGAATTAGATAAAGTATTATAATTCTCAAGTCGAGATGTGTCGAGGGAAATAAATTTGGATAGGATTTTAGAAAGGTTACGAAAATAACCAACAAATTGTAGGTTATGTTCGTTTACAATGTTCTGAAATTAAAATTTTATTCTTGCATTGTATGATTTCGATCTAGTAGCGAATGTGTTGTCTACTTGAATTTTAGGTTATGTAGCAGAATTAGACAAAGTAATTCTCAAGTCGAGATGTGTCGAGGGAAATAAATTTGGATAGGATTTTAGAAAGGTTACGAAAATAACCAACAAATTGTAGGTTATGTTCGTTTACAATGTTCTGAAATTAAAATTTTATTCTTGCATTGTATGATTTCGATCTAGTAGCGAATGTGTTGTCTACTTGAATTTTAGGTTATGTAGCAGAATTAGACAAAGTAATCCTCAAGTCGAGATGTGTCGAGGGAAATAAATTTGGATAGGATTTTAGAAAGGTTACGAAAATAACCAACAAATTGTAGGTTATGTTCGTTTACAATGTTCTGAAATTAAAATTTTATTCTTGCATTGTATGATTTCGATCTAGTAGCGAATGTGTTGTCTACTTGAATTTTAGGTTATGTAGCAGAATTAGACAAAGTAATTCTCAAGTCGAGATGTGTCGAGGGAAATAAATTTGGATAGGATTTTAGAAAGGTTACGAAAATAACCAACAAATTGTAGGTTATGTTCGTTTACAATGTTCTGAAATTAAAATTTTATTCTTGCATTGTATGATTTCGATCTAGTAGCGAATGTGTTGTCTACTTGAATTTTAGGTTATGTAGCAGAATTAGACAAAGTAATTCTCAAGTCGAGATGTGTCGAGGGAAATAAATTTGGATAGGATTTTAGAAAGGTTACGAAAATAACCAACAAATTGTAGGTTATGTTCGTTTACAATGTTCTGAAATTAAAATTTTATTCTTGCATTGTATGATTTCGATCTAGTAGCGAATGTGTTGTCTACTTGAATTTTAGGTTATGTAGCAGAATTAGACAAAGTAATTCTCAAGTCGAGATGTGTCGAGGGAAATAAATTTGGATAGGATTTTAGAAAGGTTACGAAAATAACCAACAAATTGTAGGTTATGTTCGTTTACAATGTTCTGAAATTAAAATTTTATTCTTGCATTGTATGATTTCGATCTAGTAGCGAATGTGTTGTCTACTTGAATTTTAGGTTATGTAGCAGAATTAGACAAAGTAATCCTCAAGTCGAGATGTGTCGAGGGAAATAAATTTGGATAGGATTTTAGAAAGGTTACGAAAATAACCAACAAATTGTAGGTTATGTTCGTTTACAATGTTCTGAAATTAAAATTTTATTCTTGCATTGTATGATTTCGATCTAGTAGCGAATGTGTTGTCTACTTGAATTTTAGGTTATGTAGCAGAATTAGACAAAGTAATTCTCAAGTCGAGATGTGTCGAGGGAAATAAATTTGGATAGGATTTTAGAAAGGTTACGAAAATAACCAACAAATTGTAGGTTATGTTCGTTTACAATGTTCTGAAATTAAAATTTTATTCTTGCATTGTATGATTTCGATCTAGTAGCGAATGTGTTGTCTACTTGAATTTTAGGTTATGTAGCAGAATTAGACAAAGTAATTCTCAAGTCGAGATGTGTCGAGGGAAATAAATTTGGATAGGATTTTAGAAAGGTTACGAAAATAACCAACAAATTGTAGGTTATGTTCGTTTACAATGTTCTGAAATTAAAATTTTATTCTTGCATTGTATGATTCCGATCTAGCAGCGAATGTGGTGTCTACTTGTCGGTGTGAAATGTAATAAATAATTTTTTGCAATTTGTAGAATATTAAAGAGTCTGTATACAGTATTTAAATGGATTTTATAATATCTTTTGACAAACTTCGCGTTGAACGCGTTAAGAAGTGTTGCCTATAAGTCTCTACGGGGTGTCTCGAAAAATTTTTTAAGAATTCCATTGTAAAATATGCTGCTTCATCCTAATTGCTTCTTTAATTTTATTTCGAATTGTTCACCCTTCACGACCATCTTTAATAGTAAGAATTTTTTTATTTAAAAAAAAAAAAAAAATGGAGTATTAGCAATCGTAAAAGTGTACGGAATATTTTTGATCCTTTCAATTTCCCAAATATCCTGTCTCCTCGACGAGGAATCTCTAAAAAATCGTAACGAACTTCGAGAAGCGAAAGACACGCCCCGCGAGCTAGTAATCGAGATCGCGTACGGTCGAAAAATTACTCGTGTCAGGTATTACCCGGTTATTGTTGTTCGAACGTCAACTGTGAGTCGCGGACCAACGAACAAATAGGCAAAATAAACACAAACACTGGCTGCGGGGGCGAGAACCGGTCATCGAGATTGCTATTGTCGCGTTTGATTCGCTCTCGTCTCGCGGGAGAAAACCAGCTGTCCCCACTCAGTTTTTTCATCAAACCCCTCTCGAAATGCACTCGTGGCGATCCTTGATGAAGTTACGAGGTTGTTACGACTCCTCCCCCATTTATTAACGAAGACATTATCAAGTTTCGTGAACTTTCACACGGTGTAATAAATTTATTTGGAGCAAAAGGTTATTTCACAAGTGCAACAATGTACTTTTCTAAATAGAATACACTCTCTTCGAATTACAGAGAATGTTTTAATATATATCAATATTTTAAGTTGAAAAATGTACCATTGCGCGTGAAAAGCTAATCAAAAGACGAGACAAATCTTTGACCCGCCTAACCTCGACGAGTTGAGTCGTACGCGAAGATTTCAAGGGCGACTTCCGGTCCACGGGGGCCGAGCGGGACCGGATGCCAGCGAGACGCCGTCGAGAAATTGCCGTCGAGGAATTAAAGGAAATCCAAAGGCGTTTCGGCGGAAATAAAAAGCTGCAAAATAGGCGACACTCTCTAGCGAGGCAACTCTGACGACCATAATTGCACCTACCTGGATAGGGAGACCCCAATCATCGGAAATTGCGGCGAAGTTTGGCACGCGGGATCGATAGTATCGTACAAGGTGGCCTCTCATGCTCGAACATGCGTTTCGTCGTGTTTATAACGCACAGCCAGCCGCGATCGGAAAATTAATTTATTATGCCGCTGTAATTCTGGCACGAGCCGCGACGCAATATCGATCAATCGACCGCGCGCGTCGATGACGATTTATGACGCGAACGATCGAAATATTTCCCTCCCCCTCACGGTACGAACGGACGGCGACGTGACGGCTCGCGGTTTGCACGGATTCGGACGGAATATCCATTCATTAACCTTTCACGCTCGCCCGATGCTTCTGCTATATTAAGAGGACGCTTCATCGATGTTGCTTTTCGATTCCTGACCCGTTGTGACGCTCTAAAAGTCATTGTAATTCATCGTATTTACGCTCGGTGCTCCCCAAAGGGTCGCTTTCCTAATTTAATCCACGAACCGTCCACTGTGAAGCGGCACAAACAGTTTCGACGCGGATCGAAAAATTTTCTGGGAACCACTTGTTGATGTTTAATAATCGAGCCATACGTAGAATAGTAAACGAGGAATAATAAAACTGTGACACTTGCAAAGCTTCAGGAATTTTTTTCTATATTCGAAACTTGTTTCTGTAGAAGCTTGGATGTGGATCAACAAAATTTACGACAAAGTGGGGAACAAAGCTTACAAGTTTGTAGAATTATCAACAAAATAGAAATTATTTTCCCGAAAATGGAACTGATCCATAGGAGAACTTATATATTTATTTTCCTAATATTTTTCAACACGAAAATAACCACCAAGCAGAGTGGAAGAATTTCTTCGATCATTTCCAGGAATCTTCAAACTTTGATCAAACGTATCTTGCTACGTTTCCAACACCACCGAACGATTGTAAATAAATCTTTCTCTGACAAGGAACCATCGCGAACGGTCCGGCTTCGATTTTGATGAAACTTTGTACACTTATAAAGCAGCCAAAAATAATCGACACGTATTTTTTTTTAGCTGCGGTAACTCGAGTTTAAGGGGTGAAACCACCCCTTGAAGTTTTGGCTCGAAAGGGCTATCTCGAAAACGGAAAGACATACAAAAAAATTGTTAATGGGCGAGGTTGATGGTTTCTTATGTACAATAACATGGTGTTAAAAAATTTAAAAAAATATAATTTGTTTATAACAAAAAAAAATTTATTAACTTAATTTTTCATTTTATTGAAATTTTCATAATGACAAAAAATGACGAGCATTTTATTCCAAATCCATTGGTATGCGATTTTTTAAAATTGCCTCCTACAGTTTTGCAGATTTTGATGATTTACATCTTGCGCGCACATCCATTATGGTAGTAGCCGTTCTAACTTTGATTTTAATGAAGCACAGTAGGCTTGCACTACTTTTAGAGGACAAAATCGGGAAAAATACAAGAATACCAATTTGTTGATGGAGGCTTCGTTAAGAAATTATTAACGTTTAAAGTTCCGCCCGTACTGAATTTTTTTCTCCGAAATGCCCAAGATTTCGGGGGAATGTGTAATGACCAAAAATGATTGTAATCGACCCCTGCAACCGAAAATAATTTTTTCAGAATGGTTTGAAATTTTTTAATTTTGTTGAAAAATTTCACAGATTCTCGAATTTTTTTCTCAAAAGTGCGTAGGATTTCGGGGGTATATATATTGACCAAAAATGATTGAAATTGACTCCCGCAACTGAAAATAATTTTTTTAGAACGATTTGAAATTTTTTTTTTTCCCTGAAAAATTTAGGCACCTGCACCCTGTCGATTTTTCTTA